AAAAAAAAAAAAAAAAAAAAAGACCAGCCTGAGCAAGAGGGAGACCTGGTAGGGCATTGTGGTGGGGGCTTGCAGTCTCAGCTACTCTGGTGACTGAGGCAGGAGGATCTCTTAAGCCCAAGAGTTTGAGGTTGCTGTGCGCTAAGATGCCATGGCAGTCTACAGAGGGTGACAAAATGAGACTTGTTTCAAAAGAAAAGTAGCATCCATCAGACTTGGTGACTGGTTTGGGGTGGAGAAAAGGGGAAAGGTGGTGCATGGCCCTGCAGAAGGGAGAGGAAAAGTGTTCTCTGTTTTGTTGTTTCTTTTATATAAATATTATACAAAGACTTTTAAAAAGGTGTTTTTAAGCTTTTTTGAGTCAGGAATTCCCAAGTAAGTATGGAAATCCCTAGAATGTTGCACATTAGGTGAAGTAATCAACCTGCAGGAACCAACGGTATCTCCCCAGGAGCACGAGTTAAAAAAAAAAATCTCTAGCCAGAATAGAACACTTGACACCCCCAACCCCGCAAAGAAGAAGGAAAAAAAAACCCATGCAAAGGAAAGTAAGAATATCATGGTGTACATCTTTCTAAGAATGTCTGGGAACTGAATGCCCGGTGGCTTCCATTTGACCCCGCTGACCTGCTTTTCACCCTCCCCTGCTCCTACCCTGTGTTCGGGCCATGGGATATGTTTGGTTAATAGCAAGAAAACAGAGGGATTGAGGAGGCTGAATAGGTATTTATTCCTCCTGTGAGATCAAGGTCGCTGCAGGCTCTCTGCATCTCTTGACTTAAAATCAGAATTCCCTCCACAATCCTGTCTCCGGGTTCCAGGACCTTCTACCTTCCCTGCCTTTGAGGTCTGGCGATGGTGCTGGCTCCCCGCCTAGGCGCTGGCCTCGCATTTCCTTACTACTGCCCTTTCAAAGCAAGTGTTTTACACCTCCTCGAAGTACCCAGTAGGAGTGTGCCATCTTCTCCCTGCCAGACGCCGACTGGCAACAAGTGCTAGGCGTTTACTAGCTCAATGCCCAAATACCCTTGCACACATGTGCTACCCTGCACCCCTCCCGTCCCAGCCCAGGGCAGTGCGCCAGTGGCTTTTCAACATGTACAAAACCCCACCAGAGGGACTGACCCTGCAGTTGGGCAGCGCCTCCATCCCTCCTGCTGCCCTTGGGGCGAGGGATTGATTGGAGTTTCGTCTGCAGGTGAACTCCATAGCGACCGACTCACCCTTAACACACTCGGTTTCATTTTCCTGTGGGTTTGTAGCTGGCAGAGGACTGTACGGGGTGAGTGCTTGGATGCTGAACCCATTCTGGGTGTCAGCTCACAGAGGCAACAAAAATGGGGCACAGTTTTGCCCTCACATCGGTTTACCTTTCAAAGTGCAGTAGGCAACAAAACCAAACACCTCTCCCACCCCCAAATAAAAGTGTAGTCGGGCTTCATCGAGAAGAAAAGGAAAACTAATTACAACCGAGACGTGCAGGAAACGTGCTAAGTGGTTTGCTTTATAGATTTTTTTTTTTTTAAAGCTGGCTTTTAAAAAGTTACTTAAAAATGGTTCCAAAACATAGCTTACCAATTTTCAGGTAGCTATTCAACCACCACCCCAGATGGGACTCGAACCCACAATCCCTGGCTTAGGAGGCCAGTGCCTTATCCATTAGGCCACTGGGGCTTCATGTAACACGCGCCAGATCACATGTCTCTTAAACTGTGACGCCACTGGCTGCGTAATGACGCCATACGAAAGCGCCAAGGTACAAAACCCGATTGGCTAGAAGTTACTCCCCAGCTTCAGGATCCGGGAGGAGCAGTCCTAGGAGAGCTAAAACAAGTGAAGGGACAGGGATACTGGCACGAGTTAAAACATTCGACCACGAAGGGACTCGAACCCTCAATCTTCTGATCCGAAGTCAGACGCCTTATCCATTAGGCCACGCGGTCTACTTCTAGCATATGTTTACCTAGCGACCTACATAGGAACCAGTAGACTCTCTAGCCGTGACGTGACCCCGTGACTTTACCCGCTTCTTCCTCCGTCGCGCCTGTGACGCAACCGGTGACAAGATGCGCGCCGTCCGCTGCGAACCGCTCGCGGCGCCACCTTAGAGCTGCAGCACCTGGACCACCCACTGCGGCCTGCTGGGCGTCGAGACCGCGTGGCCTAACGGATAAGGCGTCTGACTTCGGATCAGAAGATTGAGGGTTCGAGTCCCTTCGTGGTCGTGCTCCTTTTGGGCGAGTGGCAGCAATCCACCGCCTCGGCTCTGTTGCGGCCTCTTTCATTGTATCCTTACGCAGTCCTCCGGCCCATCGAGCCGCTCGGCGCTCGCCTTTCCGGGAGCCTGATCCTCTTAGTGTTACCGCGCACCGCCCAAACTCGGTGCCTGGAGCTCTTGCTCTTCGCGCAGGCTGGGGAAGATGTTGCCCAGCCAGTGATCCACTGGTCCCAGCGGTCTACTGGTGGCGTTGGGGTGCGGTGTCAGAGCAAACTATCATAGACCACGTGGAATGCGTGTCTTGCCGCGCCCCAGTGGCCTAATGGATAAGGCACTGGCCTCCTAAGCCAGGGATTGTGGGTTCGAGTCCCACCTGGGGTGACTATGTGGTCTTTGCTGAGATTTTGCTGCCGGGATCCCTGGCCTCGGCGCAACCACCTTCTGGCTGCGGGACCCCGTTCTCCTTGTCAGGGACTCCTGCAGTCCAGGTGTCCGCATGTCGTATTTCCTTGGCTACCCGAGACTGTCCTATCAGTCACAGCTGTAGTGTCTTGGGAGCCCTCTGCGCTCTTAATCCTCCGTGGGAGTCCTGTCCCCATCCTCGAAATTGATGGGCGAAAGGTGCTCACTCACCGCCACGAGGCTCTTGGGTACTGGGCGTTGGGTGCTTCCCCCTCTACTTGGGGTCTCTCGGTGCAGATGCTGCAGAGACCCTTGTTCAACCTGGCGCGCGCGAGTTGAGCCAGACATCAGGATCACTTACAGTTCTCTTAGAGGGGGGAAAAAAAATATCCAAAACTCTACCATCTTACCCCAGGTGGGACTCGAACCCACAATCCCTGGCTTAGGAGGCCAGTGCCTTATCCATTAGGCCACTGGGGCCCCTGGCACGTGGTATTGCCATCTGTTCCCCTAATAGCCTCCGAGGGGGCTCGCGGCTGCAGAGCAGCTGGGCAGATACCAACCCCGGAGAGGAATGCAGCACGCGCGGGTTAGCCGGCGCCCGCCCAGTCCCCTGCACAAGGGACGCGCAGTGGAACCTGGGAGGCCCCTCTGAGGCTACTGGACCCCAGAGCGGAGGCTGTGGACACTGAGGTTTGGTGGCATTTCCTTCATCCTGCCCTAAGCCAATTTGTTCACCTCTAAAGACCTGATAGAAAATCCAAGAATTTTAGGAAACTGTAGTGTGGGAAGGGGAGGAGAACAGACAAGTATTAGTCACGAACACGGAAACAAACACGGAAAATCGTCCCCCTCGTGAGAAGGT